TTTTGGAAATAATGGCATTTCATTCATACAAAAAAAAACGTAGAGTCCAAAGTTATGCGTGAGTGTAAATATAGCAATGCTGATGGTATAACTTTGCCATATCGACGTTATTATAATGATTGCTCTAATTTTTCTCATTTTAAAACACTCATCATGTAGAACTTTAAAAAGATTTTCTTAATTAATTGAGAGTATCTTTGTTGATGATAATTTTACAATCCTATAGTACGATTTATAAAACTTTATTGCAATCACACTGACTATTAGACCCATATGCATCTTCCAAAAAACAAAAAACAAAGAAGACATGTTATTAAAAATAATAATCATATAATTTATATTTATATACAGTATTTTGTGATACTGTAATGTTGTACTACCAAATTTACGATTCGGAGTTTCTTACTGTAGTTGATTTACGTTTAAATTTACAAACTTCTCATTTTTTTTATTATTCATTGCTTAATGCCTTTGATACTTTTTTAACTGAAGTTATGCTTTATACAGAGCAAGAGCCTCCAGCCAAAGTTGAAATTTCTTGTGCTCCTCTCGGTCCTGCAGTGCCGATACCAATGTATGTTCTTATTACACTTATATTCGTTTTAATTCCTTGACTTGTTGCAAGTTAAACTTGAAGGCTGTGCCAATGAACTATTTTGTGAAAATAGGTATTATCCCGGTCCACCTATGCGCCCTCCTGGTCCTAGATGGCCTATGCAATTGTTTCCATATCCGCTTAACAACTCTACTACAGGTTCAATCTTAAGTTCTCCGAATCATTGGCATGCATTTGAATCAGATGTTTTATGTTCAAACTGTAATCTTTATGTTGTTTTGCAGGTTGTGGGTCTAATTCTCGTTCGTATGCGTCTGGTCCTAACTCTAGTGGCCCTTCCATTGCAAAATGTTGAAATTCCAGTTCCGAGTCCATATGGAATGGTATATCCACCTCAACAAGTACATGGTGCTGTTCCACAAACGTATGTCCTTATTACACTTATATTCGTTTTAATTCTCTAACTTGTTGCAAGTTAAACTTGAAGTTGTCTTGAAGGCTGTGGCAATTAACTCTTTTGTGAAAATGTGTATTATCCCAGTCCACCTATGCGCCCTCTTGGTCCTGGATTGCCTATGCAACCGTCTCCATATCCGCTTAACAACTCTACTCCAGGTTCAACCTTAAGTTCTCTGAATCATTGGCATGCATTTAAATCAGATATTTTATGTTCAAACTGTAATCTTTGTGCTGTTTTGCAGGTTGTGGGTCTAATTCTCGTTCGTATGCGTTTGGTCCTAACTCTAGTGGTCCTTCCATTGCAAATGATGAAATTCCAGTTCCGAGAATGGAATGGTATATCCACCTCAATAAGTACTTGGTGATGTTCGACCAACGTATATCCTTATTACACTTCTATTCTTTTTAATTCCATATGGTGACTTATAGATAGTTTTGTCTTGAAGGCTGAGCTATTTTGTGAAAACATGTATTATCCAGCTGCACCTATGCGTCCTCCTGGTCCTGGATGGCCTCTGCCTCCTCGTCCACAACAATGGTATCCATAGAACATAGCGATCTCTTTTCCTGTAGCTCCCCATTTAGGGTACCGACCACCACAAATGTCATCTCTTGTTGCATTGCCAAACGAAATATTGAGCAACATCATCTCAACTCTCCCGATTGTTGAATGTGTGGGAAGCGCTTTACTAACTCGCCAATGGAAAGATTTGGGAAATCCATTCCTATTTTGGATATTGATGCATCCGATTTTAGTAGCTATGAGGACTTTGTTAAATGCGTGGATGGATTTCTAATAGCGGTGTCAGATAGTGGAGGTGATATAGAGAAATTTAGGCTATTAGGGATTTGGGAGGAAGAGAAGGATTTTAGTTTTTGGATAGAGATGGTTTTGATGAAGAGAGTTAGAAATTTGGAGATTAAAAGGTTTTCTAACCTTGTGGTTCCAAAGAGTCTTTATAGTTCTACTACTCTAGTCTCTATTAAGTTTTTTGGTGCAAAAATTGAACAGATTGAGGAAGTATACCTACCAAATGTGAGAGACATTACCTTGATTGGACCGGATTCAAATAATGAATCAATTGAGAAGCTTCTCAATTCATGTCCTCTACTAAGAGAGTTCAATATGTAAGTTGGATCACTTGAAGGATATCCACTACAACATCATCTTCTTAGTGAGATTAAGGTGAAGTCAAAGACTCTTGAGAAGTTGAAGATATATTTTTGTCCTTGGAATGAAGAAGAGTATGTAGGAGAGAATGTCTTCATCGATTGTCCAAGTCTTATACTATTGACAATTAGTGGATATGAGAGTGATAAATTCAAAAT